TTTTTAAATTCCTCTCACACTATTGGGATATTGAAATCACTTATCTTCTGGCATGAAAAATCTGTTTGTTTCCACGCAGAACAATGAATGTCGATGAAATACGGCGAATGAATTTGTGACAAGCTCCTGTGAATGAACATCATGAGGCGCGCTATATCGCCAGTTAGTTTTATTCATTTGGTCATCTGACATTGTGCAAATGCTATATCTAAGTTAATGAAATCGATTTTTAGGTTTAACAGTTACAGTAGTATCGAGTGGCACGTTTTAGAAGTATTTGTTGGTGGAGCTGCAAGTTTATTTATAATATTAGTATCAATGATATGATACCGTAAAGTTGGTATGGGGATATTTTAAACGCGCTCAGTGTAAAATATGGACTACCGATTGTGGACTGTAGAATACGGACTACGGACTGGGTGTAAAACACGCACTGTCAATTCCAAGGCATAACTAACACGGCGTTATCTTTTAGAATGATCTAAGTTGTTCAAACTTGATGGTTTATATTAACGACCGAAGAAACGGTGAAACGGTAAGATGATACTTTCCGTCTAGCTGTAAGTCTGCATTTTTTGGTGGCTCTTTGCAAAACTCTCTCAGGCAAGTCTTTTTGCAAGTTATCACAATGCAACTCTCATTTCATGGGCTCACAGAAGACGCGGTTGAGTGGTAGCAGGAACACTCCGATACCATTGGGGTTAACGCACCAAGAAACGGAGCTTTTCGTTTTCCTTGTTGACCAGGCACTTCCAGTTTAAATAAGCGACAAATTTCGCTTAGTTTACCGATTTTTAACATACTTAGCTTCGGTGAGGTGACGAGTTCGCAAAGATTGTAACCATCGTACTTGACTAGTACTGGGTGCTTGGGCTGTATGTGCTCCAATACCTCATTTCCTAAGGTTGCCAGCGCTTCTTCATTTTCAGCTGCTTCATAGTCTTTGCAGGAAACTGACTGGGCTTCTGAGTTTTTGTATTTTGCCAGCCGTGAAAAGAAACTTTGGGGAAGACAAAAT